AGTAATTACTATCATAATCTACGTCTTTGTACAATTACTCTCTCTCTCTCTCTCTCTCTCTCTCTCTCTTCTTTTCTATCAATCAACTTTCATCAACATTCCACTCCGTTTGTTTAATCGCCCCACGCAGTCACAATCGATGTTACTTCCAAAGCTGCTGATGATTCGATGAAAATATCCATTATTTGAAGCACATCATATCCGACAACAAGAACAAATTTTCGGGAAAAGGAGGAAACATGTCGGAGCACGGTGACAGCGACATGGACGCGACGGAAGAGATCAATGTGGACGACTCAGATTCCCGGAGTTGTAGTCCGCAACATTACGTGAGTCACGACGGCCGCCACATGTCCCAGGAGACATCCGAGTGTTCCACTTCGCCGCCTCCTAGTCAAACCAGCACAAGGATGCTAGCAAACGATTCTCCTCGTAACCATCCGTTCAGTATAAGTCGTTTGTTGGGTGAGAGCGGCGTCCAGAATCCCAAGAGTCCGTCTTCGGAAGAACCGGATAGTGATAAAGAAAGAAAATGGTCCTGGGAAGAAGGCAATAATAATAATAATAATAATAACAATAATAACAATAATCAAGCATCCTCGGGTGGCATTTTCGATGACGGTAGACGGTCCTGGGGCCACGATGCTGAAGAGAAGCTATCAGAGAAAGATGACGATGACAGTACGCCCGATACTCGCGCCAACTCTTCTTCGTCCGTTCATTGCACTTCAACAGCGGATCTCCTCGCACCTTTTCGAATCTTTCCTACTAGTACCGGTTTTATCTACACCAGCGGTGGTGTCATAAGAGTACCGGCGCACCGGCCACCAGGCGCAAATGGCGCACCGGCCAGCTCTTTGCCCGCACAGGCGCTGATACCACCCTGGAGTCTACAGGCTCTTCAACACAGTCAACAACAAGTCGCGGCGGCTGGTCTGCACAGGGCAAACCTCTTGGCAAATCTCGCTACGCATCCTCTGCAGGCACATCCGCATCTTAAGGACAGACTGGCAGGTACGCGCACGTTAATAAATGTAAAAAATAATTAATAATTAGCTGAAATGAATGGCTCTAGAAGTATTTGATTCATATTTAGCAACTATTATATTTGATTGTGACTTTCATCCTAAATACATGACAATTTGGAAAAGATGATTTTTGGAGAAGATTTAAAAAAGTGTTGTTCTTATATGTATACAAATATTAAAGCATGATTTCTAAAGGGATTAGGAAATTTGTCTTTAAAGAGACGAAGATTCAAACAATTAGAGAATAAAAGCAATTAATTTTAGATAAATGTTAGATATCACTGTGTAAATTGAAAGTGATGAAGTAGAGGGTGATCTGGCAAATCATCTAAAATCTTAAGACTGCACTCCACAGCTGAATGTTTGCCACATTTATTATGTTTATTGGTTAACTTAATTGGTTAACTTTATCTTATATTAAATTTCTTTTTTTCAACAAGAAAATTAATATGCTAGTTGAAAAATGGCCAGATAACAAATGTTTTCTATCTTTTTATTTCATGATGAACCAATTATCAATTATCAATTATTAATTATCAACTATCGATTACCATAACCAAATTAATTACAAAGTCTTTAGTAATATTTTTAATAATTCTTAAAGAAAATATACCTATTTCCAATAAACACTTATTAATAGAAATATGATATACGTATTAATAATTTAGAATTAATATAGATATAAAAAATACATGATTTTTATACCGTATGATAGTACCGTATAATAATACGTTTAGAAATTATAACAAATAAACATATTTTAAATATTTTTAATAAACGTTTCCTGCTATAAATGCTAATATACATTCGGTAAACACAGATTGCTCTAAGAACCGAATTAAAACTCATACATACTATATAATGTAATGAAGATATTAGATAAACGTAACATAACCGTAACATAATCGATAGAGTCCACAGTTATATACTTAGTATTTATAGATTTATTTATAAATGTATCACCATAAACACAAATTATTATAAAAAATATATAAAAACTCATATAAATGAATATGTAAAAATGTATATGTAAATATATATGTATTAGATGAATATATATATAATCGATGAAAAAATATCTTTTTTTCTTACACACTGTATAATATATATAAGTCTATGAATATTTTATACATTTTTTTATATTAATTCGTATATATTAGGATTAATCTAATAGATAACGTTTCTTCAATTAAAAAATATATAGTTGTAAAATTAAAATATATAGTTATATGTATTTGTAAATAAGCATAAAAATAGTACTTATAAATACATATATAAAATAGTATGGTTCCGAACATGTTCACATGTTACATACATTTATCTAATACATTTTTATATATATCATACGTATATGTATCATATGTATGGTTGTATAGGATTTTTATACATTTCATATACCAATCTGTGTTTATTGGGATGTCTTTGCTAATCCTTCTTTTCTTTCAGAATTATGTAATCAATTAATTTTAACATTAGTGTAAAGCCAAGAATAGCATTTTGTTTATTGAATCAACATACATTTTTGTTTTGAAGATAGCAATTCTATGAAATGAAGTAAGATTATTGGTGAATGTATGTTGATTGTTATCAATTACTATAATGTTACTCATTATTAGTCTTCTATATTGTATTATCTTATTATGTTATGAGTTGTATCTAGAGTTTGTAGCGAGACGATATTACCTTGAGTAAGTAAAGTTTTAGGTATTTTTGAGTAAGAAAAATTGAAAAGTATTTTTAAATATTTCATTCTATTAATTCTTAGACAAGCTGTGTAATTATGAAGCCGCAAGCATCTAAATGTGCATTGTAGAGAACTTTGTTAATTTATCGTAACGAGCTATGCTTTAAAATCAAAAGCTGACATTTTAATTTCCAACTCTTTTTATTAATAAATTATCAGTTAGAGAATTTAGTGATAAAACAGTATAATTTGATTTAATTTATGAATCGATTTTTTACAATATCTAATAAAACGCAACATAATTTAAATATCACGTTCCCATGAATAGTTTCTATAAATATTTAACAGTATAATTATTATGTATTGTGGTATCTTAAAGAAAAAAAAGAGAAAAAAGAAAATTAATTTTTTATCAAGCTTTGTCTAAAATATTATATTCCTCGTCATCACAAAATTTTTGTTAAGCCATGCCAGCAGTGAGATATAACAGTCATACGTCAGATGGCCGAAATGGTGAGGTGGTCGATCAAAAATTATATTTTGTGTCTCCGCATACTTAGTTAACATGATGTGGAAGGAACAGATGATTCAATTAATGAGATTGTCAGTCATTATTAATTTGGCATTATCCCGACGGGGATTGGAGCGATGACCGGTCGCCGTTCAATAGAATCGAGTAATAAACTATAAAGCGCCGAGATGTGTGTGTGTGTGTGTGTGTGTGTGTGTGTGTGTGTGTGTGTGTGTGTGTGTGTGTGTGTGTGTGTGTGTGTGTGTGTGTGTGTGTGTGTGTGTGTGTGTGTGTGTGTGTGTGTGTGTGT